CTGAGGAAAGTGATAATGGCGTGTGTGTGTGTTATTGATGCAGTTGGGGATGCTTTTGTGGAGCTACTTCTCTGTTGTGTTTACTGATCCTGGTGTTGTGCCTCCTAGTTGGAGACCAGCTTCAGACGAAGAACGAGGCGAGTCTGATCCGTTAAACAATTTGGAGTTTGGTGGGTTACAGCCCGATTCTTCGAATCAAAGAACTCGGTTTTGTAGGAAATGCAATCAACCTAAACCACCTCGTTGTCATCATTGCTCTGTTTGTAAGATCTCTCAGTTACACACGCACACACACATACTTTCGATTTTATCTTTATAGTCGAAGGAGAATCAGGAAGCTGATTGTGTTTTAAATAAAATTCAGGTGGTAGATGTGTGTTGAAAATGGACCACCATTGTGTTTGGGTTGTTAACTGTGTCGGGGCGCTTAACTATAAGTATTTTCTTCTTTTCTTGGTAAGTTTACTTTGCTCTATTAGTCATTTTCCCTTTTCTGATGTTATCACTGTCCTGCTAAATTTGAATTACCGGGGTTTTGTTCCGTAGAGGATTGCATCTATGTATGTTTATGCTAAGTGATAGAGATTCTTCCTCTTTGTGTCATAAGTCTTGTGTGTTTTCAAATGCAGCTTTACACCTTTGTGGAAACAACTCTTGTAACTTTACTACTCATGCCGCACTTCATAGCGTTCTTTAGCGATGAAGAGATACCGGGAACCCCGGGCACCCTTGCTACTACTTTTCTTGCTTTTGGTACGTTTCCAATTTCTAATCTTATGATCGATTTTTTCCAGTTCCACTTATCAATCCGTCTCACAAATGTTTCATCATCATTACCGCAGTTTTAAACCTGGCTTTTGCTTTAAGTGTTATGGGTTTCTTAATTATGCACATTTCTCTCGTGGCTGCCAATACCACAACTATAGAGGTATGTGATCTCATTTCTTTTTATTCTCTAGCCTGTTGTAATAGTTTGGTGCATCACATGGTTAAGCTTTGTCTGGTGTTATCAATTTTGTGAGCAGGCATATGAGAAGAAAACTAGTCCAAAATGGCCGTATGACCTCGGTCGAAAGAAAAACTTTGAACAAGTAAGTGTAGACTATGATTTGATTCTTTAGTTTCTTCCGGTTTTCCCTCGTGTTGTAATCTCTTTTGGTGTGTTTATGTTAAAGGTATTTGGGATGGATAAAAGATACTGGTTGATTCCAGCATACTCAGAAGAAGATTTAAGACGAATGCCGGAACTTCAAGGACTTGAATACCCTTCGAAACCCGACTCTGATTCCCAAGATTTCTGAATAAGTGAAAGTTGGTTTTATGTACCTGTAACAATACCTTTAGAGATAACAGAGGAAGGCAGAGACAATGACCTTGTCTCCTAACTTTTAAAGACTCAGCTGCTCGCTCGCTTACACGGTGTAGTTTCTTCCCACGGAAAAGAAGATCACTGAGAGACTTAAAGGGCAAATCATTCGAGTAGATGATATTGTAAACCAATATGTTCTTGTTTCTTGAGTAGTCTTCTTCGCATATGATGTTTAAATTATAAATGTAGAGCCAGTCTCACGTTGTAACTGATTTTTCTCGTAAAGTCTATTCCTTTTGTTCCAAAATGCTGACTTTTTGACTTTGCCATTGGATATTTTTATGGTAAAGTAAAAATTCATAAAGAAGAATGATGAAGAACCTTCTGGGTTATGTGGGTAAACGACACGTGTCTCTGTCTCTATCGTTCTTCCCTTGTCGTAAACTGAGCGTATATATATATAAAACAGAGTGCATAACAGAGAATTGTTTGTGGATTTTTCTGGGTTCTTCTCGGATTCTTTCGCAGGTACTTTCTTTTCTTAGCTCTTGTTCTTGGAAGAAACGCATCTCTGCATCAGGATGCAAGGACAATAGGTTATTTGAATGAAATTTGAGGTTTTTTTTAAGAGATTTATCTCCACATAGTCTGTTCTTGTTAGAGTTTGGTGAAATTTGAATTCCATTTAGGTAGTTTTTCATGGAGATTTTTAAAGTATTAAGGAAATTTCTGTGATCATGTCTAGTGTCTAACCTGTTTCTAAATTGATACAAAAAAGAAAGATTTGCAGAGATATAAACAAAAAGTTTGTGAAAATGGGAAATCGATTTGGTGGTAGATTGGGAGCATTTAGAGGTAGCTTGTTTGGAGGAAGAGACCCTTTTGATGATCCTTTTTTTGATGATCCTTTCTTCTCTCGACCATTTGAGGATTTGCTTGAACCAAACACCTTTTCTTCAAGTGCTTCCTTTAGTAGTAATTCACAAGAGAATAATCGTGGAAAAGGGTTAACAATTGAAGAAATACCATCTGATGTAGAAGTCGAAGAAGAAAAGAAAGATATCGAAAGTGACGAAGAAAATGCTCGTTTAGCGAATCAACCATCTGTTGAGCACCCTGAAGATGATTCCGATGGTATAATTCTTCTAGACATTATTCGGTAACTTGTTTACGGATATGTGTTTATCTAATATGTGTTTGGTTTGTTGTAGCGGAGAGGAAGATTCGGAATGTGAATCAAAGGAGTGATTTCAATAAAAGAGAGAGTACGCGGTCTCGAGCAAACACGTTTAGACATCACACCTCTAAGGTTACATATGGTGGTATAGATGGTGCTTACTATACATCAAGTAGGACTAGAAGAGCAGGAAGTGATGGAGTACGATCGTCTCTCTATTCGAATCCTTTCGATTAACGGGAGTTTTACGCATACTAACCGGATTTCTGTTTTTTTTGTAGATTGTAGTTGAGGAAAGCAAAGAAGCCGATAAAACTACGGGTGAAGCTACTCATAGAATCTCTAGAGGAATCAATGATAAGGTGGATATTACACTATTGATGTCACTAAACCAGTTCTTGTTTTCAAATGTCTGATTCTAATGGTTTGATGTATTCAGGGTCATTCGGTTACAAGGAAGCTTAACTCGAGTGGTGGCGTAGAGTCGACACAGACACTTCACAACCTCGATGAAGGTCGGTATGCAGTATCTACACTACCTAATCGTAAGTTAAGCTCTTTGATTGATAAGAAGCTAAAAGATTGTTTCTTTATTTGTTTTTGTTTCAGACGAACTAAGTGGCTTTGAAGAAGCATGGAAAGGAAATTCATTTTTTGACAAGCGTGAAGGTTAGCAAAAACCTCTTAATCTCAATATAGTTTGAGACCATTTTACTATATTGTTGTGTTCACTATACAATTGGTTTACAGGCTCTGATCATAGCTTTGGAGGGTTTGGAGGGTGGCTTCTTCCTTCTTGGGACCAGACTCGTCGTCGAACAGACCAAACCCGAACCGGTCCGAGCTCCTCTGCTACTGGAGCTAAGAATGTTGTTCGCATCAACATTGAATAAATCATCAGATAACATGTACCAAAATATGTGTAACGAAATAAATTTGTAGATGATGTTTGAAGTTTGTAATGTCAATAATTTTTACATTAACATGATATAAGAGTTTTGCTTATGGAAAATTATTTGTAAACGTTATATACAATCATTAACACTCGTAAAAGGGTAAAAGAGGGAATTCTCATTTTTTTTAGCGTCTGAACAAATGTTCCTCTCCAGATAGATGATCCACGTGTCTAATCCAACGGCTAGGAAGTTTTCTCGTGTTACCACCAGTAGCTCCCACGTGTACAATATCTAACCCACTACCCACCGGTAAAAACACGGATCTAACCACACGTGTCCCTCTTTTCAACACATCGTGCCATTTGAACCCAGAAATCGCTCTCTGCGTGGCGTTTTTACACACTAAAACGGCACCCTTGTTGCTAAGTTTCGCAAATCGTAGCGTTTTAACGAAATCTCGCCGCTTCGAATCAACCACCATGAAATCTACACCGGGAAACTCCTCCACCGTGTTTTCAATAGATTCTCCGATCACCACAACTTCCGTCGTGGCAAATCTTCTCATAGCTAACACGTATTCTAGTTTAGACTGCTCATCAGGTACTATACACACGTGTCTTCCACACGTGTGAGTTGCCGCAACCGCGAGTCCGACGCTAGTCGCGATTTGATCGCCCCGTGACCATGTTTCAACGATTAGCTTGGCGTTCCATCCAGCCGCGGTAGCTGATAAAAACTCTGCTACTCCTGATTCTTTGAAGCTTTTACACTATATATATTTACATGCAAAACTCAATAAAAAGATAAATAAATTTAATTTTGCATGTATACACACATATATAAATCACGTACATATTTAACGGTGTCGATGTAAGCGTCAGAAGCGGTTTCCGGCGACCAAACAAGCTTCATGGTGAGAGTCAAATGGAGATATTATTATGATTTGTGTTGAAGAAGCTAAGGAAGTGGTTAGGTTATATATAAATGGACATATGAAGCGTTGACATTTGATTACACTAATAACAACGTGTCAATTTGTCTCATTGCTCCTATTTATTACTCTTCCTATTTATTCTCCCATTTTTTTGTTTTTTTAATAAATTGTTACTAATTTCATCCAAAACAAAATTATTTTCTATTTATTACATGATGTATCAAAATTAATTTCTCTCTTAAAAAGGTTAAATAAGCTTATATATTAGACATTAGACTAAATTACTATATTCAATCATTTGTTGTACTTGTTTCATTGTTGTCAAAATGGTCGAGTGTAAAAATATACGTGAAGTAGATCAGAATTTGATTGCTGTCATTGTGGACTTAGTGAGACAACTTGAATAATCACATGAGATGGTCAGCTTCAATCTTTGATTTTTTTTTCTTCTTCTGACAGTTTTCAATATATATTTTATGTATAAAAGGGAAAAAAAGAAGGGAGAATTAGCTTGATATTATTTTGAGGATACATAATTAGGAGAATAACATAAGTATAATAGAATTTAGGTGAATAGCAGAGAGGTAAAATATTTGGACGAAATTATCTTTATTTAATTGGGTAAAAAATGTCAATAATTAAGAAAAAAGAATAATCAAATAAGGAAAGTCATAGAATTATTTAATTTGATAATAAATGTCAACAATAATCAGAAAAAACAATCAGATAAGAAAAGTAGTAGCAACAAAAAAATCTCTAGAACCCCTACATTTTTTTTTATGTTGTTGTAGTTGGCGGATCTCAAAAGCAAAGAAGTTGACTATATTCTTTTTTTTTATAGTTAGCTAAAATTCTTAGTTTGTATAGTTGACTATATTTCTACTTTCTATATTGTTGAAGTTAACTATTCAATTAATAATATAGTAAACTATAGTATAATTTTTACAGTAATGAATTCGATTGTAATAATATAGTTAACTATATAATCTTTACAATTGTATATTTTTTAGTCTATGTTTATCAAAATAGTTAACTAAATAACACTTATAACAAAATATAGTTAACTAAAATAGTTCMGTGGRTATATKKYAWWYMT